GACCACAGCCCATGTTTGCTAATGTATAATTTGTTATTAATATCTCATAATATCTTACAGAGGTGATAGCTGATTTGTATCATGCGAAAAACTCAGTCACAAATCAACGCCTGCCTATAATCAGCGAGGAATATTATAAAATTATCCAGAGCAACGCAGAGAAATTGAATTCCGCGATAGTATATGATAGAGATTTTAATTATACTTATTCCACGTTTAAAATGCTTGAGAGCAATCACTTGGTGAAACTGAATGGAAAGGTCGTCGAACGACCGCAGCACATGTTGATGCGAGTTGCTGTAGGTATTTACGGCGAAGATATCGATAAAGTTATTGAAACTTACAATTTTATGTCTAAACAATATTTTGTACACGCTGCACAAACGATAGATGCCGCATGTACTGTTACGCAACAAATGGCTAGGTAATTGCTTTCACTAATGATCCATTGGGCGCGGTGTAACGTGTTATTAAATAAACGATATTTTTACAGCTCATTCTCATTGACAATGTCTAGCGATAGCATTGATGGAATTTTGGATACGTTAGAAAGATTTGCCGTTCTTTGTCATCATAATGGCGAGATAGGATTCAATGTGCATTGCATTCGAGCAAAGAACACGCCTATAAGAGGCACAGGAGGCGTATCAAACGGATTGGTGCCTATGTTAAAAGCGTACAATACGTCCATTGCGACTGTCTCCAAAAATGGCAAAAATGAAGGACCGATTACTGTATATTTAGAACCATGGCATGCCGATATTTATGAGTTCTTAGATCTGAAAAGGAGTATTGGTTATTATCTTCTACTGTTATCTTTTTCATCTCTTGATAAAGGAACACATATAAATATATTTCTAAACAATTATAGGCGAAGAGCAATTGAGGGCTAAAGGTATGTGCTACGGATTGTGGACTCCAGATTTATTCATGAAACGTGTTTTTCATAATAAGGATTGGAGCCTAATGTGCCCACATGAATGCCCTGGATTAGTTGAAGCGTGGGGTGATGAATTTGAAAAACTGTATACTAGGTCATTATATTTCCAATATTTAAAACTACATGGAGTTTATATAATTTATGAATGAAATGTATGTTTTTTCATATTTTTAGATATGAAAAGGAAGGACGTTTTCGAAGACAAGTTAAGGCTAGGGAGTTGTGGCTTCTCATCACTCAGATACAATTTGAGACAGGAGTGCCATATATAGTTTATAAAGATCATTGTAATCGCAAAACAAATCATCAGAATTTGGGTACAATTAAATGCGGTAGTTTCTCTACCGAAATAGTCCAATATTCAAGTTCCGATGAAGTTGCCACGTGTAATACAGCTTCAATCGCTGTCAACATGTTCGTGAATTCTACTAAGAGAACTTTCGACTTTTATAAACTTAAGGAAGTGGTGAAAATCGTCACCCACAATTTGGATAAAATGATTGACGTCAATTTTTATCCTCTCCCAGAGGCAAAATTGTCGTCTAATAAACATAGATCTATCGGTAAGCTATTTGCAACGTAATTCACATACTATATGTACGGGAAAAAATGAAGTTGCTTCAATTAAATGTCGGCGTCACGGGCTGCCACAAGCATAAATAGTTAATTCAATTGGATATTATTGGACCAGATATTTAAATTATTAAAACAATTATCTGATGTTTCATTAATATTGATGTTACATTAATTAATTTTATCTCAATAACACTGATGCTGTTGATATAACTTTTTTTTTCGTGTGCGCATTGCTTTTTCTTTAACTTATTTTTAAAACTTTAGGTATTGGTGTACAAGGATTAGCGGATGCGTTTATTTTAATGAGATATCCGTTTGAAAGCAAAGAAGCTAGTGAACTCAACGTCCAAATTTTTGAGACTCTTTATTATGGCGCTCTAGAAGCTAGTTGTGAGATAGCTATGGAGAAAGGCCCTTACGAGTCATATGAGGGCAGTCCAATCAGTAAAGGTGTAAGTAATCACGAAAATCATTATTCTATTATCTGCTAATTTGTTGGAAGTTATTTACATCTAAAACATGCAAATTTTTTTTATAGATCCTCCAGTACGAAATGTGGGATATGGAAAACAAGGAAAAACCAACAAATTTATGGGATTGGGATATTTTAAAGGCAAAAATTGCCAATCATGGAGTGCGCAATTCTTTGTTAATAGCGCAAATGTATGTTCCGTTTATGGCACAAATGTTGGAAACCAACATATCAGTCGAGCCGTACACGAGCAACATATATAAGATATATGCATTATCAAAACAGTATCCGGTTGTCAAACCACATTTGCTACAAGATCTGGTTGAGAGGGATCTTTGGGATGAGAACATGTGTAATAAAATCATTAATAATGGCGGATCTATACAAGTAAATATTCATTATTTAATTTAACTACGTTATAATGTGATTTTATTATATTACATAAATATTTACGAAATAGATATAATGTACGTTTTATAAGTAAACTGGCTTTCTCGTTTGCAGAACATTGAAGACATGCCCGATGATTTAAAGCAGCTTTACAAAACGGTTTGGGAAATGCCACAACAGACTATTTTTGATATGGCAGCTTCTCGTGGACGTTTTATCGATCAGTCGCAATGTTTAAATATTCACATGGTTGATCCGTTAGACAAGCTTACATCCGTACATTATTATGCTTGGAATGTCGTAAGTTTAAAGTGTATTTTGAGATGGCATATAAATTTAATGTTAAATATGTATTTTTATTTGCAGGGTTTGAAATCTAGCGTGTACCGTCTCGTAAGTAACAGCGATAACATGACATAGACAAGATAAAATTAAACGTTTTGTTCAAATACAAAATGTATATCCAAAAACAAAGTAATAACAGAGTGCAGAAATCCACATTAACCCGTTGTGGTCACACCTCCTAAAAATAACGTAGTGGTCACACGGGGTCCAATGGACCCCACAACAGTTTCCATTTGCGTTCTTTTTTGATGTATCGACTCAAACCTTGAACTGGAATTAATTTATGACTTCCTCTTGATAATCCAATAATTTAAAAAATTTTTTTATGTTGAAAAAACGCGAGAAAAAAAATTTTTTTTTCGAGAAATTTGACTGTTTTCACAAAAATATTTATCAAAATTTTTTTAGATAGAGTAAAAAAACTTTGTACGTTTTACTCTCAAAATAGTATACAAAAAAAAAAAAAAAAACCCTGGGGTCCAGTGGACCCCATGTGACCACAACGGGTTAAAATAAAAGTGAAGATTTTTTTTAACAAAATATGAAAATTGTATTTTTTATTTTGAAATTCGTAAAAAATAATATTCTTAAGAAAAAAGTAAAAAAAAATTATAAGATAAGCAATAAGAAAAATGTAGAAACATGTAAAATAAAAAAACATTCTGGAAGAATGCGTTCCTTTAATTATATAATTATTAATTTTACCATAATATCTCCTCTACACTCTTACACTTTCTTTTGTATTATAAATTAGACATTACTATAACTTTAGAACAGTATTCACGGTATACAAGTCCAATCTTAAATGTTAAATTATAGAAAGGTTCACCTAAAGACGCTGTAAGGGCTGTTTTATTACTATAGCATCTTATAATAAACTCAAGACGATTTTAAATATATAAGATAGTGTCGGGAAAATTGTTCTTACAGTTTGCAATACAAGTTAAATCATTTCTGTATACTTCCTCATTAATAATGTTTTTCAATTCCTTATTCGCCGTATTTAATCTTCCTTTACTACTTATTAATCAATGTAAAAATTGTTCTTTATCATCAATTTATTATGTATTACATATTTTTATTGATTTATGAGTTTTCGTATTATATTAACAAATTTTTTAATTTTGTTTGCATTCTTGTCACGGACCTTGACTAATGCTACATTTGAATGTGGCGCGATGTTTCGGACTAAAATTTGATTGGCTGTCTTATTCTTCGGCCGCCATTGCGCAATGCTACACCTGTCTTGACGAGGAGCAAGAGTTATTAGGTTAGCTCAGATGTCTAATCTTGTAAACATAATTTTATTGAAGCTATCTTTAAAATGAAGACCTCACGAACCAAGAAAGCTCGAAAAATTCTTGGATTTTATGTAAACAATTACAAGTTTCGTCAACCATTTCAAATCCTCATTGACGGCACATTTGCATTTGCGGCATTACAGGTTAGTTATACATCTTTTTATTATTATCTTTCTGTTTGTTATCAATTTTCACAACGTTCAGTTTACCTTATCCATCATATTTGTACCTTATTATACTTTGCAGAACAAATTCAACATACAGGAACAGCTTGCAAAGTACTTCCAATCCGAGATAAAGCTGCTGACAACGGCGTGCATCATCTCGGAAACTGAGAAACTTGGTGTATTCTCTTCAACAGTTAACGGCGCCACGCAAATAGTGAAGCAGTACGCTGTACACCGATGTGGACATGAGAAGAAACCAATAAGCGGCTCAAAATGTTTACAATCTATGATAGGGAAAGACAATAGTGCAAGGTACATTATCTATATGCATTGTCTGACGGTACCCAAGAGAGTAAGAAAATCAATTTTTCAATTTTTATGTTATATTGTTTAAATCTTAGGCCAGTATTCATAGTCAGATCTTATATACAAGATCTGACTATGAATATCGACCTTGGATATTTCCATATTCCCTAAAAATATAAAATTCAAATCTGTCAATGAAATGACAAAACGATAATCGTTTTTGTGAACTAAACGCACGTGAATCTTTCATGTTCGTTTACCATAATCAATGTGCGGACAACAGTTATTTGTGTGCTCTCGAGTTTTTATGTTGAAACATCTAGGTTTAGAAAACTGTCCTTAGAAGGTTTAATGTGTGTTCAAAATCCAGTAATAAAGAAATAAGAGTTTTCTTCTATTGTATATCAAATGTATTGTAAACCAAACTGTTTATTTTGGAATAAGAGTATTAAGAATATTTTTTATTCTTATTTCAATGAGTTTGTCACATTTTTCAAGAGAATCTCACATTCAGCTGATATATACAAAAGATTATCTCTTATTTTCGTTATTTTAAGTTTATATACCGTTTTAAACATATAATGCTAATAAACAAATGATTTGACATATAAGCATCAAGAATAATATTCATTATATAATAAAAAAAAAGTAATTTTTTTTTTATAAAACTGTCCTTGTTACAGATATATCGTTGCAACGCAAGATCGTGAGCTTCAGGATAAGTTGAGGATAATTCCAGGAGTTCCTGTAATTTATTTGCATGGAAAAGCACCCACTCTATACTCTCCTTCAGAGGCAAGTCGCAAACACGCTGAAGCTACGAAGAAAGGTTTAGGAATGACTATATGGGAGAAAGAAAATGTAAAGGTATTGCGAAAGCAAGCAGGATTAGAAGAGAAGGAGAGTAAAATGAAGAAGAGGAAAAAGGGAGGACCAAATCCACTTAGCTGTTTGAAGAAAAAGAAAAAACCGGAAACAATAATATTGAACAAAAGTGGTACAAAGTCTGGTAAAGTCAGGAAAAGAAAAATTAAAATAGCGTCACACGTTAAAGAGGCTTTACTAACAGAACTGAAGAGTGAATGTAGGACATAGAATTGTATGTATGTAAAATTTGAATGTGCAAATTGTAAACATGTATTCTGTGAATATAATATAAAAATAAAATCGTTAAAAAACGGGATTTGAGAGAACAAAGTACTTTTTGGCACATTGAATTAATATTTTTTGTTGAGAAATAAAAATAATAAAGTACTTAAAATACTTTAATATATATAGATGTATATAAAGTTTTAATAAGCTTCAAGTATTTAGATATATCATAGTTCTTATGGTCATGTTAAACATGAAATGTTTAGTATTTCTATAAAAGAATCTTTCATAATTCTATAGCTATAGTATTAATAAAAACTTTAGTTTTAAATGACTGAAATGTTTCTTATTTAATAAAAATAATTTACAATGTTTGCTTTTATTAACGAAAAAATAATGAGGTGCGCTGTTTTAAATTAAGATTGATATCATTTAAATAAGAAAATATAGTGACTAACGAAAATAAGTAACAAAAAACTCTTACTTCAGAAAAAAGTGTATATTACATCCTTCAGTACGATATTAAATAACGTTGTATAATGTTATTTTCCTAGAATATCTTAACATACAGTTGAACACATGAATCTGGAATTAGGAACTTCTACATATCGAAAGTATAAAAATGTTGGAAAATAAACTTTTTGCTGTAGGTGGCACAGTATTATTTACAGCCTTTGTTTAAGAACTTTCAGACAATGTGTAAAACTATATTATCATAAGTATACATTTATAAGATAATCAGAGTTGAATAGTGGCAGATCTATATTCTCGGAGGATAATATTTCTAGTTCTCAAGAAAAATTTAACTTATTAATATAACGAATATTTATATATTTTAATAAAGTTCATATAAAAGTTAGAACTCTTAAAAATGTATACATATAAATTTATTACCCACACATATGTATATATAAATATAAATATATATATATATATATATATATATATATGTATATATAATATATTATATATATTTATAAATATATATATAGATATTTTTTATGTGTATGTATACATACATAAAATTAAGCGTGAATGACATTAAAAAAAAACTAATTGTTGCAATGAAAAAAACGAGAAATTTAACATAGAAAATTTGAAGTTAAAAAGCTGAAGATATTCTAATTTATTCAAGACACGACCTTGACGTATGAGGGCTCTTTGGCATATCAAGGTCCTATAATTTTCAAGCTTATAAGTAGATCTACCACTACATATAGTTAAACAACGTAATCTTTCTATTAGGTACAAATATTTGAACTTGATCATAGAAGTAAAATAATTCCAACTTTACCTCATTCAGTTGAATATTACAATTATCATGTAGCGTATTATTATTTATTTCCCGATATAGACTTTTCCTAGTTCACAAATCGCTAGTCACAAAAATAGAATCTTTCTCTGTCAAAAAATTATGTTTCTAAACAATTATTAAACCAAAAGCTTTCAAAGTTAGATGTTTTAATAAAAATCTTTACAGACGGATCTTTCATACAAGTATGATTAAATGTAATGTCATGAAATACATGCACTATGTTTATAAGGTTATAAAATTTGAAGAAATATTGTAATTTTTATTATTAACTTACAAGTGAAAATTTATTTTTAGTCGTCACACATGTAGGATGTAACACTGTTCATGCAAAACTTAAACAGTATGGAACGAAAAAAATATTTTTTTTCAGCATTAGCACTGACCATTTTCTAGTACTAATCTATCATCAAATCAATATTACGCTCAACTTAAAACGTTTTTTTTTCACTTTAGAATTAAATCAGATATAGCTTATGTAAAAATTACATAAATTTAAAAAATTTCAACAAAACTTTAAGCATGTAAAAAAAGATCTATCTCTTAAATAAAATTAAATGAATCTGAATGTTTGTTAAAGTAGTGTGAGTGCTAATGGTTTCACACATACCTATATCTGTTTTATATTCTATATGAAAATTACTGCGTCTTAAACACGACTTCTGTTAATATTGCTTTTAGACAAAAGTAGTCTTTAAACAGAACATAAAAAATCTTATATCATATATTTGAGTAATCTCACAAACGTGATGGTCAAGGATGTTGATTTAATAGTGCACGTGTAGCCATAGCGAGCATTTTCATGCGGCGCGTCGATCGATGATTCGGATTACTCGCTACAAACGTAGCTATTTGATTTTGTAGAGTCATTAGCACCGTGCCCATATGTTCTCGTGTTACTGGATCACTTGGATCCAAATTCAATATTGCTTCCTCCAGCCATCTAAAAAGAAGGTAATTTTTATTTAAAATATCTTGTAATATCTGCAAATGGTACAAATGTCTATTTTTATATTATACAACCTAAACATAAATTTAAAAAATAGTTAATAAATACCTGTGTTTTAATTCTGTACGGTGCCCTAAATCAGCAGATAATTGCTGTACGAGAGAAAGAATAACAGGTTGCTGCAAAATGCATCTTGAGGCTTGTCCTGGGGCTCCATTACACGAAAATACTCTCGAAGGTTCTGTTTTCTCACACACTAGTACTACCAATCCTAAATCACTTGCACTCAGAGCTTGTTGAAAAGCTGCGTTCAGTTGACCTCTTTGAAGGAGGGACATGACACGCGCTTGAGCATCAGCTACAGCGGTTACAGGTATAGCAGGTGTTGTAGCTCTTGACCTATAGGTTTCGAGAAAAAGGGTATTTTAATGATATCTATCTGATAGTATCTATGGTGGTATTAAATTTAAAATTTACAACAAGTTCCTTACCGCGCACTAGAAATTTCTGTAAGTTGCTGATTCAGATTCTCTCGTATGGAATCACGAATTGTTCGAATAGTACCATCTTGTATCGTCGTCAAAACTCTATTCAATTCAGCTTGCATTTCTTCGCGTACCAATGTTGATAACATTTCGCTTAGCTGCTCATTATGACGTTGATACTGTTTATCGATGATTGTATCGACATGTTGTAGATCTATAAAAGAAAATGTTATGTAAGTACGTTATATATACATAAATATTTAATTGTGTTTTAATGATGTTGACAGAATAAATTACTTACATTCGCGAGTACCTTTAATAAAAGCTTCCTGGATTTGCTTAAACATAATTTGGCAAATTTTTTCCATATTAGGTAAAAGGACAGTTGTGAATGCTTCCTTAAAAGCAGCATCCAGAGCTGGTTTAGCTGCATTTGCAGCTGTCAAAGATAAGGTATCTTTTACATGAGAACTGCTTATCAATTCAGATATATTTTTCTGAAAATGTTCGTCCATTTGATTTGCGTCTAATCTCATTTGATGCTTCAAAGGCTTTATCGTATCTTCGACTGTACGCGGCAAGGTACTTTCAATCTTGTCTTTGATCGTTGTCTCAAATGTGTTTAGAAATTCATGTTGACGAGTCATTTGATCATATAGAGTTTGTTCCAAGCTTGCATTATGCTGTTGAGACATTCTCGTCAATGCGGATTCTATTTGCGTAGTTACTGGCGATTCTTGTTGCAATCTAGTAACTTCTGCGCGTAATTCTTTTAACTCTTGACACTGATCCTGAACTATCTCTAAAATAGATTTCAATTTGTTGTTTATTTCGAGATTATTGATGTCGTTGTTTGTTCGCCATAATGTTCCAGGATCATCGGTAGGAAGAGACGTCTTCGGTTCATCTTTCATCTTCTGCCTTTGAACATTATTCTCATCATCTTCGGGAAATTCTTCCGACTCTTGCATCGCATGCACACTAACGTCCTTAAGCAGGACCATTGGGATATTAGACCAATCCTCATCAGCGTTCGTTTTCGTTTCCGGCTTGCCATCGATATCAGTTTCTTCATCTGGTTTAGAAAGAGACAAAATTTCTCTTACTTCTCTAGATGGACTGCTACCGCAACTGGCAGGAGTTTGCTCTTCTATCTCGTTTTTCACGAGTGGCGGGTCAGATGCGTTCAAAGCTTGTACCGCTTGTGCAATAGGACTACTAGACAAGACTTTCCTCAAATCTGGACTTTCGGGATCAGACTCCAATTCGTTGTTCTCTTTTTTTGCAGGCGAACTGAATGCATCAGGCGTCATTAAGTTTAAGCCACCACCACTATGATTAATTATCGTTTCGGTTGTGGTAGATAAAGATCGTTCTCCCTCACAATTCTCTTCGGACATGCCATTGTGAGCAGCGGTTCCCATATCTGGCATATCTTCAGAATAATCCAGCGAATCGTGAGTACGTGTACCTATAAGATAATTGCCACTTCCTTGTGAGGCAGGTTTAAAGGCAATGTGACACTCTTGTAACGACTTTGGTTGGACTAGATACATATAAATGACAAGTTGTTCATCGTTCTCTTCGATCTCTTCACATAGATCTTCCAGTGATTCGCCGGTCGACCGTATTTTACGTTGATCGGCCTCGACAATTCCAAAACTTAGAATTGGATATGGCAGGAGAAACTCTGATACCGTGCTTATGCATGCTAGCGCCTCACCTTTGTCTTTTGAAAGACTTAGTACATATAAAATTTTATTATATATGTCTGATAGAAATAGATATCCAGCACTAAGATCTAAGCCCGCTTTTAGTACCGGCACTTTGCCCGTAGAAGGATTTGGAGCAAATTTGATTGTTTGTAAACAAGTCCACAATTCGCATGACCATACTTTTAGTTCTGAATTATTGTCACACCCCGTCACAGCAAATCTCCAAAATTGAACACTGAAAAATAGATATTTCCCTTAATTATGTTGAGTTTACTCAATATAAATGTCGAATTGATATTTCCAAAATACTCACTCAGGCTGATAATTTTTATGATCATCAAGGAAAAATAGGCAAGAAATGGGTCGTCCTCCATGAGGCCTCCATTGATGTAAACAACGTGGTTGCGGTTGGCCGTTGTGAGAATTATTATGAAGGAAGACTTGAAAGAATTTCACTTCTCCATCTGTACTAGCAGTTGCTAATGCGGTGCCATCTGGACTAAGTGTGGCTTCAACAATAGTTCCTGAGTGTTGATCAATTTCCATCATGCCACCAGTTTCTTTAATACTTGGATCTGTTGCCTGATTTGGCAAAAAACAATTGAGAATTATTCATTGCCTATGCTCCGTATGTAATAAAAATTATGGAAGTATATGTTCATATACCTCTACTGATCTAAATCTTGACGCTATTGTCGCAACCGACCACAATTCAACCTTGGAACCACGAGTTAGGACTAATAATTTTGATACTTCGTCTCCGTCAGAGGCATCATCCTCTGGGATGTACGGACACCAGATCACTCGGTGACTAGTTGGAGAAACGTCTTCCGCGTCTACTTGTAATACTAAACTACATAATAATTCAGACGGCGTAGGTTCAATTGTGTGTATAAAAAGTGATCCTGTATAATCGATACACGCAAGAATTGCATTTGAAACATGGGCGAACGCAAGATCTTGAATAGCACCACGCATTCCTCGTAGCAGAGCTCTATGTTCTAATTCCTTGTATACAACACGAATTACCCCACCACCGGCACTGACTAAAAGATAGAAAATTTATCTAAATAGAAGTATGACTTAAATCGCTTATATATATATAAAGCAATTTCAATTTGCAAAAAAATAAACATTGCAAACAACAAATCTCAATTTTATCAAATATTACCTTTTAAACCATAGGCTAAATATTTTCCAGATACATGAACGGCCAACAACTGGCCGGTATAAAGATGATGATCCCATGTGAAATCAACAATGTTCTTCAACTTTACTTTAGAACTACCATGATCGTGATCACCAGGAGAAGGGATAATGGTCACATTTGTGCTACACAATTCAACTGAATGTTGATCCTCCCGTCCAGTAAACTCCCTGTAGAAATGGAACGCTACATATAAGGATTTTTATACAAATTGAAACCTACATGTCATATTTATTTATATCTTTCTTCCAATATAAAGAAAAAAGAAATCAAACGGGTAATGCAAGAAAAAATATATTGATAAAGAAATGCTAAGCATGTTTATGTGGAAAATTATTTTGGAGAAAACTGAAATTTATTTATAGAAAGATGAAACCATAATATTTGATTAAAATATAATTAATCATGTATCTCAATCTTTCAGAGTTCCAAGGATAGTTCAAAAATTTAAAAGCACTTACTACTCAAGTGTAAAGCACTTACTACTTAACTTAAGTAAAAGAATGCTTATTCAATATAGATTTACATAAATTTTTTAGGATTAAACAAGTAATTTGTTTCAATTAAGCTATTCATCTCCTAGTTTTACACAAGCAGACACAAAGATAAAAGGATAGATCATTTATATTATCTGATCCATATATTGATCATATTTTTTATGATTTAACGAATATTAAGAACTTTTGAATTTTTAAATCGCTCTTTTTTTTAACATCTCGCTTATCCTTTTGAAAGTTTGATGAAAAGTGGCTATTACAATATTTTCATTTTTGTCACTTATCTTTTTCTAATTCTTATGTCCATTTCTATCAATACAAATTAACTTTAACCTTGGTTTAACTTACTTTTTATCTCGTTCTATAATGTCCATTTCTATCAACGCAGGTTAATTTTGATCTTGGTTTAATTTACCTGTCATCTTTTCCTAGTTCTAAAAGTTAGAAAAAGATAGAAAGTAAGTAAAGCCGAGATTAGAAGTTAATCTACATTGGTAGAAATGGGCATAATTCCTAGAACTAAAAAAAGATAAAAAATAAGTTAAACCAACATTGAAGTTAATCCACATTAGTAGAGATGAACGTAAGAATTAGAAAGAGATGAAAAGCAAGTTAAACCGAGATTAAAGTTAATCTACATGGTTGAAATGGACAGTAAAAATTAGAAAGAGATAAAAAGCAAGTTAAACGAGATTAAAATTAATCTACATGGTAGAAATGGACATAAGAATTAGAAAGAGATAAAAAGTTAGTTAAACCGAGATTAAAGTTAATCTCCATGGTAGAAATGGACATAGGAATTAGAAAGAGATAAAAAGTAAGTAGAGATTAAAGTTAATCTACATAGTAGCGATGGACATAAGAATTTTAAATCGAGATTAAAGTTAATCTACGTTGGCAGAAGTTTTTAGGGGTGCGACATGACTCTACACCTGTATGGCTCTAAAAGCTCTAAAGCTCTCTCGGAGAACTTACACTGTCTGCTGAAAGTGGAGATGCCTCAGATTGCCTTCCCCGGACTTGCTCATGTCGCCAGCCGTGTCCCTGCAAAACAACGAATTTACAGATCTGCACGGTCCCCGGGTCGACGGGCGGACGATTCCTAACCCCAGCCGGCGGTGCCGCTGGCCTGCACGATATCGGCATTACGGGGGGATCGCTCTATCTTTCTCGCTCTCTCTCACCTTTCGGGCATAAATGCTGTCGTTCCTCGGCGTGCCGCTCGTTCGGGATCGAATGGATCTAGTCGAGCAGCCGCGCGCTCATCACCGGCCCCGTAACGATCTCGAGGCACGCACACGCGAGATCAATTCGGTAAATTCCAACGAAAGTGAAACGTCAGGCGGCCATCACCCACTTGTCAGTACGTATATACGTGCGAAGTGGTGCGACTTGCGAAGTGGACGTCAGTGCGGGCAATCCCCGTCGAGACACTCGAGAGCTCGAGACTCTCGAGAATCGAGACTCGAAATATCTGCCGCTGGTATTCAGTTTTATTCGCGCGTCCGGTTGGTCGGCGCCGGATTGGCCAATTCAACGGAACCTTTCGATTGGTCGATCCAGTGGAAGAATTAACACCGAGACTACCGAGTGCCAGTTGCCAAAACGCCGCGACTGTCGCGAGTCGATCTGCTATCATCAATCGCAACGTAAGTCAAATACGTGCACGGGGATTCTCTAATCTCTCCATAACGGCAGTTTCGGTATCGTTGCGCAGTTTTTTTTACCATATCCCTGTGCTGCTATTATCAATCGCAACGTAATAAGTCAAATGAAACGTGATGCGATGATGCAAACCTGTTGTGATCGATTAGGGCCGATATCACAGTCTCCGATTAACGTGATCCTCCGATTAAACTCACTCTGCATCTCTTTCTAACTGTCCCCCTAGAAAGAGACGAAGAGTGAGTTTAATCGGAGGATCACGTTAATCGGAGACTGTGATACCGGCCCCTACATTCCACTTGGTGCCAATAAAAAAACTTAAAGACGAAGAAGAAGACGAGACGTGATTTTGGGGACGCAAGCAGTTGCCCCGTCGACAAAGCCCGCGCGTTCAAAATTTGAAATGTCGAATCGTCAGCGCCATGTAATGGCGGTCGTGTGTGGGTATCGCGTGTGTGAGCGCACGAGCAACGTCGTCGTCGAACATGATTTCTGTCGCGAGGAAAGGTATTTCCATCCGATCGAAATGACGATTCAGGCATTTTGTAAGCTCGATCGTTTTCTCCGCGACTTATAAAGAGTGCCTGCTGTTTGTTTCAGGTGGTTTTGGCGAAACAGCGAGGGACACGTCCTCGCGCCGCTCGCGCGGCACATGAAACCGATCGTGAGTATATATAATTCTGAATGTATAAAGATTATTGAGAGCGATATCGAATCGCAAATAAATCTATATACTGTGCTTTAAATGTAGTATTTTGTTTAAAATACGCGACGTAATGAAAGATCAACTCGATGGAACCCAGTAAATCTCCAGCTAAATATATAACCAAGAAATTTATTTTGAAAAAAAAATTTTTTTATTTAAAAAAAGTAAAATAATGACATTCTGAATTTTTTGTTTTTAAATATTGAAATAAATTAGCATTAAATTTGTTTTAAGTTGAAGATTTTCTAAAGAATTTAATCGATTAAAGGCAATTAGAATTAATACTACTATTATACGTTGCTCACAAAATCGTAAAATTAGCTGCGCCGAATATTTCATCTTCGCCCTGAAATGACGAGGGGTGACCATGTGCAATCGATCTGAAATTCTGAAAGATCGGAATTATTGACAGGAAGAAGAGAGACATTCGCGATAAATTTACATTTTATTTCTTACGTTATATTACACTATAGACAGGCTTTTTCGTTCGCGTATGTGTCTATCCTTTGGAAAATGGCAGTAGTGCTCAAACGTACGTAGACCCAAAAAAAGATGGCAGTAAAATTCAGCTAATATGTCGCTCCACGAGTAGCGCTTAACGACTATGACGCGCCTATATGTTCCGCATGCCAGACATCGCGTTTTGGATCACGTATATTCGTCGAGGGCGCAGGGAAAGGTGAATCGGATTATAATACATCGTACACAGTATGGTACAACTCCAATAGCGTTTAACTTTTGCCTCATTATTAGCGACGTAGGACTCAAAACGTTCGTAACTCGTTTTCCGATTACGCGAAGGCTAAGCGGTTTGAAAGAAAGTTATGGAAATTCGTTTTTGCGAAACTAAATTCTTATTAATCCAGACAAAAAAATTAGTTTGAAACTGTATTGCTCTCTGCCTTTTCTTCTATTTTTAAGATATTAATTGCACGTTTTATTTACGGAGTGATTAGACTTTATAATTAAATATATTTTTTCAAGTTTCAATGTGGAAAAAAGTCCAGAGATATAATTAAGCTTTAGTGTGGCATAAAAAAAAAAAAATTTACAGTGATGATACTTGATGTAGCTTAAATTTCGAATGTAAGAATTAAATTATTTAATACCGAATTAAATCGTATTAATCGTAGAATAATTACACTGAAGAAACGTAAGAAGAATATAAAATATCTAAAGAGATTTACAAGTCAACGTAAAGATGGTTCATAGTTTAATTTTTTACAAAATTCTTACCAACATTTTTTGAACCATCTTTTTGAGAGCGAGATTCTACAAAGCGGGTCTTGTTACTTAATTAAAAGATGAAAATGATAAGAGAACGAAGAAGATGAAAAATGAAGAAGTTTCTTATCGAACAATGAAAAACTTCCTCGAAATCTTTTACTTTCCAAACGACTGCTATGTCAGCAATAAATTCTCACCCTGATCTTATTTGTATCAGAAATTATCTGCATATAATTCTGCTAACAATAAGTGTTCCGCATAGCTACGTCAATTTTCTCTGTATCACTGTCATAACTAATATGATATTAGATATTTGTCATTTGCTCTGCACATTGTTCGCGCAGACTCGGTTCATTTGTTTTCATTCTGCATTAGGACAGTAGGCAAGGATCGCTATAGCGATTCCAGTTAATAGAATTGTAATTTTTACATCCGATTCACACTTCGCGATCGCATTCTTTACGACGAGATGGCCACAATGTTCCGGTTATTAAAATTATACCGGCGAGATCCCTCTTGGAATATTGTTGGCACGCAGTACAGTTCTTTACTTCCGATTTTTGTCTCAGGTATCAGCGATTGTCGCCCCGAAAGCTGTGCCCTCGAATTTCCAACAGGCCCTCGTCGCGAACGTCTTACATTTCCCCATACTGCCGTATAACGAGTAATTTTTGGGTCTTCTCGCATCATATATAATGTTACACAATGACAAAGCACACTGAGACACTGCGCCAATCCAATAGAAAAACAATATCGTCGTTATTGTGCCGTTAGTATTCACAGATCGAAGAGACGTAGGACTGCAAGGATAGACTCCCGTTCGTCCTCGCGGCGATTTTTTCAATCTTTCGTCGTTTTTCATTCCCCCTAGAGCTCGCACGCTAGTAGGTAACGACTTGAAAATTAAAACTTTTCTTCCTTTCTTCGTCGATTACAAGTTTTATTTTGTAAGCGTAGTATTTCGATTTACCTAGCGACTAATCGACCGCGTTAACCGTCACGTAAATCATCTTGCGCGATCGCGGTATAAAAAAACAATGACGATCATGAGTGACCGGTGGGTGGAGAGTAAGCTAAACCATCTACCTAGGAAAGAGGTGTATAATGTTGTACTTCGAATTGTCATAAATGTAAACTATACTCTATTGCAAAACTTTCGCTTACGGTTATTTGTTGCTCTAGAATCAATTAATTGTCACGCGTTGCTCTTCACTTTAGTCTGCGTAATATATATCTAACGCAAGTAAAATCTAAATAGCCGCGAAAGGTTTCGCAAATATGACGGTTTGAATATTACAAAAGATTAAAATCTCGGTCTGCACGAAGATATGAAAATTTAAAATCTTTATCGTTTATATATCGAGATGGTCCCTGCGGGATTTTAAATTGTATATATTATTCCTTTGGCTGCGTATATATGTATATATGTATATATAATTACAAAAACATAAAGTTCCATTTCGCTACAATTAGATTGAAAAATTGATATATCTCAGATTTTATATCGTACTAACAAAAATGTGTCCAACAAGTGCACGGAAATATAGAATCTATATGATTTAATAGACGATACACTTAATGGCTATATTAGGGGAGGGCTACTTTCTTCCTTAACGTTTACGGAAATCTTAAGAAATGATATTGAATCGATCGTCATTGGTGTACGAAGTTTAAATTGGAATAACATTAGCAGAGAAGAAGAAAAGCGTTTTGAAGCACCTGTTACTTAGATCAGCGTAGGGCCACCAATAATGCATAGAATATAGGTATTTATACGTGTAATAAGACAACGTATGTTAATGGATATACGAGAAAAATTTAGTTGTAATTCTTGCGGGCACGAGAAACATGAATGCGCGAAAAGTATTATGATTATATACAATTAATGAAAACAATAAATGTGCTAAAATAAAAAAAATGCAAGTTGTTGTATTCGCTATTCGATTACAGTCCGCGAAGATTAAATGATATTCACTGACTTCGCAATTTCGCGAGATATATAAATATTTAACAACCAAATATTACAACGTGCTGCGCGATCGCACTTACTCGTTGATATGCTCATGATATATTGCTCTGACTTATAAAATACGCGAAAAATAAATAAATAAATAAATACGTCGTAGAAATAAATAAATAAGTCGTGATTTATGCCTAAGCGTTTTTACGGCTAAGCCCTTGGTACAAAAAACCTAGCATTAATTGAGGAAAGTACGTGACTCGTGTTTGACGGACGGATTCGTGCAAAGGAGAACCAGAATTAGGAATATATCACGTATCACAAGCGAAAATGTCGACCAGTCTAGTCCATCTGCTTCGCCCATTCCTTTCTACGCTAGAGACGCTATAATTGTTTCGGCGATAGATCTTGAAAGAATCGTATCCACATGCGCGTTAAGTCAAAGTGGCCGTTACAACTCCACTCTCGTTTGCACGACGCCGCACAATACTCGCCGTATTAATATGCCGTCTACTTGCTGCGTAAATACATGCGCCAGTGTCGATCTGCACATGTAAGAAGCGATAGACTCAAAACTCGCAACGTGAAAGCGCTCGCTGCGCGACCGATACTCGCGCGAGGTAATTTTGACCCTTAACTGGAAGGACGATGTCTTTGTGTCGGCGAGCCTGTTCTCACCTAAATTTGAAAGATACTTTAATTGATACCTTAATACGAATTCGGAAATTAAAAATAATCGCGACTCTGAAAGATACAAGTAAAGCGACGGAGTTATTACGACGTTATCGTACGTATGGCCGAACCGAACCCTTTCCGCTCGATGTCCATACTTTGCCAGTTAAGGGCAGACAAACGGATTAAAAATTTCTAAAAAGGCTTAAGACGGTCGAGCCTACCGCTTGGCGTGATCTAAGACTAGGACATAAAATTTCGTTTATCTTGAAAAATACTGTACACAAGAATACCTAAGGCGCGCTGACGCTCGTGTTCTTTTGCATTTAGACGTGTATCGAAGCTGCGACTACATACGATGGAACCGATACGTTTCCGCCGTAATAAAGAGGAAAAAACGTGCCGGACGATGACAAGACTGGGTAGAGACAGGTGGAATTGATCTTTTCACTCGATAGTATCCATCCTCCTTCGGTAAAAGCGTAAAGTTGCTGCGTTCACCTCTTTAAGAACCGGAAGAAGCCTTTGCTCTTATCTGGCGGCGGTGCCATCAGCATCGGTACTTGATTTTTATGTGTGATGCGAATCTGCGCCAGAGAAATATTTTTAGGCCTTCCAGTCAACTTGCAATTTAATATGAAAACATGAAATAATATACTAATCATGTTCCATAACGTTGCAATGTATAAACTTAGGAACAGGAATTTATATACTAAATAATATTTATAATCAAGTTTTGCGTAGAACATTTTGATAATAAGTACGAAATTATACGCTTATTAAGACAAAATTTGGGAAACTAGTAAAAATAATGTTTCTATTTTATTTTTTCTCTGACAAAGGTTCGATAAAATTTTTCTTAAGTGAAGAAAAAATCCCGCTAATGTTCCAAAAATATTTGCCATGATTTGGAATATTTTCTGTTTCAGCTCACCGTACAAGGACCCTGCATCCAAGGTTCGCCGTCGATTTGCATGGGGAATCGTTTGCTCGTGATGATGGTGACGCTGCTACACTGGGCTAGTCTTCTGCCGGAATGTCGGAGTCCGGTCTTCACTTGTCCCATGTGCAAGCAGTTCTCCAGACCGATTACTTCTATCAGATTGTCCCCGATGTCTGCGGACAATGGGTAAGTACTCAATATTATCGAACATTTCTTCTATTTGCGACGTTCTTCTGCGTATGAGACGCAGCAGTATTATTACATCGTTCGCGGAGAACCGATTACTTCGCACTGAACTCACCTTGAATAGCGGCTGTAAGGTCTACGGAATTGAAGCTACTGGTACTGAGCTCTTTGTCAGGTCGCTTTTTTCGTTTGCCAAGGCGGTGCCGCACGTGATGTTCGCCCCAGAGGTTCGAACCCCCGTGAGTGAAAGGAATGTTTAGCAATGCGACTCCTTGCAGAGATGGGCCATGCGCCAAATCCAGAGGCGTACCGTCACACTGCAATCAATGAAATGCACGTAGCGTCACGAATTCCATTGATTCCATTGAACTGATTGATTACGGATTTGACTGTACGTATTCAGGACGATGTTTAGAACGGAACCGATTGATTAATTCTTGTCTTTCCGCGTTCGGCATTTGAATCTCGATCGGCTCTACTCGACACTCGATATACTAATCCATTAACTGAATGAAGAGAGATTACGTATATATATTAAGCCATGCTTACAATTATCTCGAGATCTTCGTGGAGATTTTTACAACTGGCAGCGAACTGCTCCGTGGTTGCGTATTCGAAGTACCACAACTTATTTTTCATTCTGCTATTGAACTTTTCGGGATTTTTTTCCCTCTCCATGTGAAACTTGACGCAGATAGCGGCGTCGACGCCCACCGAGAAATAATTGTTAATGATATTATACGGTATACTATCTTGATTCGGTTTCTTCTCGTCCTTTTGATCTACTTCTATTTGCCAGCGGTCCATCATCACTTGCGTTGCCTTTTCTATTTTCTGCGAATCGTTTAGGTCTCATGTAGTGAATTTCCACACAGTGCAATTTGTTAAATAATAAAACGTCCGACGTTTTGCTGATGTATAAAAATACGAGAAGAACATATTTTCTCAGATTCTAAGTACACATATGTATATTAGAATGTATATATTATTTGCTTTACCTTAAGCACCTTGTGTACCGCTTCTCCTTCGTAACCACCGCCCCAGCGTAAGCACCTGGCAAGATCATTGCCCGTACCGAGAGGTATAACGCCAACGGCAGGTTGTTTTTCGAATTGCACACGATCTGGATGAAATAGTCGTGAAGGCAATAATTACAACATGCGGTTGTCGTCAAACGTTAAATTATTATATAGTAATCAATTAAAGCGATATCGAAAAGCAACATCGAAATGATAAACTTATTATGCGTAATCGGTTAACGGGGAGGGGTCTATTAAAATCCAGTCCATTTGCTGGTCTATATGGTCTATATAGTCGATAAACCTATTATCGGATTTAATATACGTGCACGACTAACAATTAGCACACAATATTGCAAAATTTATTACAAAGCACCGCTTTTACGTGCTGCCATTGCACAATCGTTATTCACTTTACTCGCGTTCTCTCGACGTGAATTTAATTGAATATGTACATCGTAATTAAATCGCGATGCATACCCATGGTTTCTAAAACCCAACCGACTGTTCCGTCGCCGCCGCAACAGATCACCCTAAAATTCTCCACGTCCTTAAACATCTGCAGGCCCTGCATGGGCCCGCCGATCGCTAGATTATGGACCTGCCGAGGGTTCAGAATGTATTGAAACTTCCGTAACATTCGCTCCCCTTGCCGGCCGCCCGATTTTGGATTTATGAAAACCAAAAGCGGCTTCGTGTTCTCCCCTGGTGTAATTTGAAAGGACATAGCTGGTTGTTGAGTCGACGAACTACCGCAGCTCAGGAAAACACCCTATTAGATTTATTGCATTTATTTGTATGTTACAGAATTATATGGTATTTCGTTACTGTCCCGTTTGAAAGTACAATTTCTCAATTTTAATTTTCTTAGCATTTGAAGTTTATACTTTCCTAAATCGATATGGTCGATTAATTTTAATTATGTAAGTTTTCTATATTTCATTTACGAACATAATTTTATATACAATCCAAAGAGCTAAAATTTAATTTTACTGAATAATTAAACATACACATAAGTGATTACATTTCGATATTTCGTATTTGTTTCCTCGCGAGATGGATGTTCAATGATAGGAGATAATTAATTATTGTATTGCACTTACGGAACTGACCGATGAGCTGTCCTGACAGTGTTTGCTACCACGTTTGCTGTCCCTCGACAATGACCTTTGTCTATCGAGTACAACGGGGCAAATTGCCGTAGGTGGAAGGATGTGTACCGCATGATCGCCGAGCGTACATTCCGCTCGCACTTGTGACGCACATCTATTGTGCAACTGCAATATTTCCGTGAAAATATTTACGTAAATAATTAAGAACATATATATACTCTCACATTATCGCTTTAATGAATAAAACATATACATATAAATTTATTAATACGCGTAATTAAATTTTGTGATTAATCCCAAATTATAATATCTATTTTTGTTTGCATTATTTAATCAGTTACATTAAAGAATTATGTATTAAATAATTTACATTAGGTCCAATCTCTTATTTAATCAATAAATTATTCATTTTATGATATTTTTGGAATATCAGATATTTTACTATATAATCTTTCTCTTTCTCGTATAACTATACGAATATATTTTAGACCACAAATCTGTTTTAGATAATAAATATAATTAATTGCGGCGATATATTACGAGATGTTCACACATATACATGTATTGCGTCGTGTCTTGCGTTAGTATCAATTTGGGAAGAGTACTCACGGTTAATTGACACCATCTGCAGCGTAAGCCGGTGATGCCATTGTAACTTTTGATCGTCTTTCTGCATTTGGAACATTTTCCGTGGCAATTACCCTCGACCCAATGATGAGCCATTGTTTGGGATGTCTTCTTGCTCTTGACATAAGTGGCTATGCAGGAGGCTGGCGCTCTTTGCACGCACCTCTCGTGCACCGTGTATTTGCAAACTGATCCGAAAAAAAGGACCATGTTAACGATGATTATTCGTATTCGTCGGTTTTGGATAAAACGCACCCGTTCTTAGAGACGTTGGTTACGTTCCTCGCATGGTAACGTTTTTGCGATCGCTACTTTGATCTAACTTGCTCTATCTGACATCGCGAGATGGAGGTAACAATATCAAGGATTTCTTACTCACAGACGCAACAAAGCCCTTTCTTGCCGAGGCCAACCAACATATTTAGACAGAGATTGCAGTACGCGGGCTTGCTGAAATGTTTTAGCCTCCACAGATGGTTCCCATCTTCCTTCACGTTGGAATCCAGACCCAGAAGAACCAGCAGGGGTATTGTCGTGAGGCCACCTCTCTTCCATTCTTCCAGCGACACTGTACCATCTGCGTCGTAGTCAATTTCTATCATCATATCTTGCAGAATCTAAAACGAAATTATACTTTCTACTCGTATTCGTCTCGTATTCCAATTGCCAGCTAGCTTCGAAAGTTTCTTTTTATTTCTATTTCTTAGATTTTCTTTAATATTTTCTTCAAATATAGAGAAAAACTGCTAATTGAATTGTAACAGAAAGACGATCGTCCAGTCCTCAAAATCCGAGTCTGCTAAAAGCAGGCACCATTTCTACCTACCGGTTTCAGCTCTGAGACATCCCAGCCAAGATACTCCGCAACGTTCATCATTTGATTTACGATGCAGTCCATCTCCTGGATACACATGATAATGACATTAGTAACACCGATAAAGAACTGTTGATCGCGTACCGCTTTATTAATCTATAAATCTATCTATTAATCTATCAAACCGCATAATATATCAAGATATTGATCGTTCACTCTTTGAAATTTCGCATATATACAGCCGATTTCACAGTCTCCGATTAATGCGATCTTCCGATTAAACTCACTCTGCATCTCTTTCCAACTGTCCCCCTGGAAAGAGACAAAGAGTGAGTTTAATCGGAGGATCAAGTTAATCGGAGACTGTGAAATCGGCCCATATATGTCGAATATATCCTTTTTATATACATATGTATATCGAATTTCACATACGTATGATCCTAATACATTTTTCATTAAAAGCTCGTATCTTCTTCGACCATTTATTTGCCCTAACTGAATAGATGCGAACGAGTGAGCAGCGTCTCCGCCGCATTTTTATTTCCATCTGCTTTACCCGCGGTTCCGCTATCGGCAACGTGAATATTTATCGTCGTGCCACACAATTTGTACACCGCGATATCAATGATTTATTCAACGTGGAACTCATTATGCGGGCGATCGTCGTTTTCCCGGCATCCTTCTTGTCCGTAATTTCATGTCAACGCATAAATCGCGCCTCCGTTCTATACATATATCTATATATATGCATCAATATGCACGCGTATCTCTAACGCCTCGCTGCCGAATAACAAAGTGCATTGAACACCTGACGCCATAAACAATTTCGAATGTAAAAACGCTTATTTTGTCTTTCCGGAAACTATGGCTATCGCGATATTTTGAAATAAAAAAAAAACGCGAAACGAATTTTCTCCGCGAAAATTCTACCGGGCAAAAGTAGACGCTTCTGATAATTATTTAAAATTTAAATGTTGAAAGACTTTTAACTGCATTCTTAGAATAATTAATATAATATAATGATAACGTTTATTAATGGTCCACTATTCGTAGAAAAGATTAAAAAGTATTATTATGTATGACGTTATTGATGACGCACGATAAGCGCATATAATCAAGCAGTACTAACATAAAATGGACTGTTTTCACGTATAATCATAATAATAATGCATTAGCTAACTGATACTGCTTTCCGGGCTTTCAATTGCAAAGAGGTCATCAATGATGCGCGTCACCGAAGCACCGGAAATTACACTCGTTCCATGTAATTCACGTTGTAACGGATCGCACGGGGGTACATGTCAATTGACGTGCCTGTTATGGGTGCGGCCAACAGTATATGGAACAAACGTATTTATCTCTTCTATTATTATCAGCCGGAGCTATTCTATACCGCCGTTGTTACTTAAGCAGCAAAGGTCAATCTATTTTCGTTGGAGAAAAAGTCAGTTTCGCCGGCGTAAATTAGAATTAGAATTATTTTTCAGCTAATTGTAAGCGACGGTATTTTTTGTCGCGTTTTCACTTAGCTGTCGCTCGTGCGATTATTTTAACATAGCGCACACGACACGGCATTTATTTGGTTCCCATCTTATTTACATATTAGAAATGCATTGTAATCGTAATGTAGCCATAATGCACACATATGACCATGTGTGATAATAATAATTAACGACATTTACGCCTAGTACAAACGACATTGTAAGACACAGATCTCGCACGTGTCGCTGCTTGCGTGATTATCCGCGTTAACTGACGATGATGATTTCTTTATACTCACGTTCGTATCAAGAACGCCGTTCCCATCCGTATCGTACAGCCGGAACATGACTGAAAAAAAGATTATCGAGTTAACGCAAACCGAAATTGTCGCGCAACAAGTTGCAGCTGCACTACAAGTCCAGACGGAATGGACTTGTAACAACTGTAGCAGAAAATCGAGAATGACTGTCGGCCGACACGCGAGTTTCCTCGTAAATTCTATACCTAGCTGTCATTATTCTCGTTCTTTTTTTTCTTATATGCGTTGCCTCAATTTCTCGCCGACGACAAAACATTCGATTAATTAACATAATTGCATTCTTCCAAAATTTCGAATCACACAGATCAAAGAACGTATTTACATAGAAAAGATTTGGTTTCTTCTCTCTCAACTCTCGTTTTAACATTTTTCAATATATCCTAAATAACATCTCTCATTATCTTTTTATCTTTTTGCGGAAATACCTTGAAATCTTTTTCAAAGGAGGCACGCATGTGAAAAAATTTAATAAACTCTACGCCGAAAAGCAAGCGTGTAATTTTGGGGGAAGATTAGTCTGAAGGCTTTCAGCCTGGAGATATTCACGACTGTATACATATAATATATATGTATATACGATATATGTATATACTCCGCGAAACAATTTTTCACTATATATTTAATGTGCGCACGCACGTGAAATATCGCTCTGATAACGTTCTCCTAAAAACGAACGGGATGCCGTCGTGATTTATGCGCGGGCATGTTTTTTGATTATACAGGAAACAACCGTGTAATCGTTATAGCATCATTTCGGCTACAGAAAACAACGCCGTTGGGTCTGTTTCAAAGCATCGTCGATCATCCGCTAACGAATTATTCGTTATGAAAGCTGACGGGAGTTTCGCCAATTCCGAGAGATAATTGCTGTTTTGTGGCAATTACTTACATTCCAGTTTATCCTCCGGTCTGCCGGCTTCTAAGAGGGAGAGATAACAAACGATGTCTTTGAGGCTGACTTTAACGGACTGGACATCTATTGTGCTTTGCTTTCTGACAAGATGCCTCATCTCTGGAAAACAGAAATTTATTTTCAATTTGTGATCTCATATTAAATAATCCGCAATTAGTGTCCGATAAATGTGATTAATGCAATATTATTTATGAAATAACTCGGGTTTCTACAATCATAAATCATAACTCATAATTTTATAAATAAATATTTCAGATTGCATTATTTTAATATATTACATTAAATATCAGATAATTATATTTGTGTTAATAACAGTATTAATTTACAGCGAAATCCTAATTGTATTTTTCAAATATTAACGACACGATCTCAAACCGCCAGAAATTATCATAACTGCCGTTTTCGTTCCAAAGCAGTTAAACTGATTTTTCACCGGGATTTTCCTTGACGTCGTATTTCGTGGAAAAGTCGCTGCTAAAGTATCTGGATGTCGGGCAAAAGTGAGAATCGCCAGACTTACAATATGATAGATCTGTCCCATATTTCGTGGAAATATCACGATGCATTCGGCCGTTAAAGTGAACGGAAAATTTGACGATGCGATTTCGGCAGGACGATCGAGCCGTATTTTTAGATAAACGTACCATACGCGAACTTGATTAATTGTATCTAAAAGTCTAAAGGACCTGTTGCTTCGACCGAGATAGCGCGATTGTCAATATGTATAAACGATGAATTGGATTTGTCATAATAGATTGTTAGAATTTAGCAACGGCTCGAGACAGGTCGACGACGTCTAGCCCGTATTTCTGGCTCGCCTATTTATATCCGAACCGCCGTGTACTTCTGCATGAATCAACGCGGCTCTATACATCGATTGGATTGCCGTTGATAAAATTTATTCTTGCTGTCACGATTTCGAAATTCGAATTGTAGGTAGACTGAAATTAATATTGACGAATTCGAATTAAAAAAAAAAAACACGCGAAAGCGATCTCTTGCTGCGCGATGAAATGGAAAAGTAACAATAGAAGGTTGATAGAAAGTATATTCTGCGTTTCCACCGTATGAAGAAATACACTCATTGATATCACACCGCTTTTGAAACCCTAATTGTTATAATATTGATTCGATAATAATTAATTTAGCATCAGTTTCATCGTTGAAATACAATTTATTAGAGATCCGTATTGTCTATATATAAAGGCATATACCTATATAATCTTGTCTTAAAAGATTTATAACTCCGAATACGTTCCATGAATATATAATTATGTATTTTCCATTAATAGAAGAATTAGCATACGATCTTCTCCCTCCGATAATTCGATTTCTCTGCTCTTATTTTTGGACGATATCGCGCGTCTCGCAAGAATAATTTTGCATGACGATGAATAAGTTAAAAATAAATTTCCGCACGAGACGATGCGTCGCGCCAACACATGCAGTCACGCGCTTTATCCACGCGGGCTCGTATACTTTTTTTTTACGCCCGGACAATCCAATTTATTCTACTTGGAATAAATTTCCACTTGAAAATCGCGAAAAAACGTTGGTAACGACACTTGAAAAAAAAATCGTTCGGTAACGAGCACGCGGTGGACGTTCTGATCGATTGCGTACATGACGATTAATCATCGTGACATTCGGTGTTGCTGAAGCTTTGAATAAATCTACTAAATTATTTTTTATTGCCCAGTAACATTCATATTAGCTGTACTTCGAGCAGTCCGAATACTTTTTTCTCGCGTTATTTTTTTCTCTCAACGTGGACAATTTATCAAAGTTTATGGGACGTAATTTCATAACCATACAATTAATAGTTACCATTCGGCCTTACTTCCGTTTTAATGAAAATCTACGATAATCACGAGTAATAAGTGACTTCAGTAAATTGAACTCTAATTATTATTTGCGGGCTGCAGCATGGATTATGTGGGTTCAGTTGATTTCACGTAAATGGGTTGACGTATTTGCCACATATCGTGAATTAAAAAAGAATCTGTAAATGTTGATTGTACGTATATACAATCGCAGAAATGTTCTTTCGAGCACTTAATGATATTCCAGTATTTTACATGTCGAATCTTCGAGAGTTAGAAAACTTCATCTCACCTTCCTTCAGCTTCACTCCCGACACATTTGGTAATTGGACCATTTCCCACTATTAAGAGCGACGAAAAAGGGGAGACTGTTCTTATATGCTGAATTATTTAATCCCTTTGTATCGCGACGTTTAACCAGAATCGGATAATGAGACTAATCCGATTGTCGAATAACTCGTTTGATATAATATTAACGTGCGATTAATAATTTAGCACTTGTTGCTTCGGCTGCGACTCAAGAGTCACTGAGACGTGGTCCCAGGAACCCGGTATCATTCGCTCGCACACTCGTGACGTCATTTATACCGGATGATACCGGTGGTACAGCTATTTCGGTGACACTGGCATGTGTGTGCATGCGCTATACGCAAACTTGTCTCTGTATGCCACGCGAATAATTCGAAGCGCGCGCTGTCCCAGTCCCTGCACTCTGTGCTATTCGGGATCGATACGATAGTAGATTAGGAGTTAATTAATTATTAAGGAAACACGAAATGACATTAGGTCTGTTCCATCTTTCGTGGCATTTTTTTGTGCTTTTCACATTTGAAACGGCATAAATGGTTGGTTCATAGAGAAATATCAGACCGAAAATACAGAATATCGAAACTATTACATATACAATATATATAGAAGATGTAAGTTGGTTTTATAAGATCTTATCGCTGATGGATATTGGTGAAATCGTTGAATTTCATCACTAATGTATTCGAACGAATCGAATTTCTATACACATCGACCGAAGCAATTTTTCCGCTCTCTATTCCTGTCCTCTTCATATGTTTTTCACATGATATATTTTACGACCCTTTTTATTACGAAGCGTGCACCTGGAGGCGACTATTCATCTTCTGATTCATAAAAGACGAGATCGAGTCTGAGACGCGGCTTAGCTCCAGCTCGGCAACAATTTCAAAATGCCTCGAGGGCAGCCTAGCGCTATCGGGACATTCGTCATACACTCTCTATGTATTTTCGGATCATATTTGATGTTTTCCTTGCATTTTTCACGAGCCACGTGTACCGAGAGGCGCGCGCGCGCGTGCGAAAGGCTTTAACTCGGGATTTCATCATCTCCGACGATGTATCCCGATGCGGAAGAGCACGTGTTTCTCGAAAAGACGATAAGATCAGACCCGTTCTTCAAACAGACCTGGAAATAGAGCCGGACCGAGTTTTCTCAATCGCGTACACAGTCCCCGGTAACGTCATGACATTTCGTGAAGATCAGACCCGTCTTTCGTTTCTCGGCGTACGCGCGCGGATTGTCGTGTAAAATCAGAATTTAAGACAGCGATATCCATTTCCTGTATCTCCGGTAAGGCGCGCGCAAAGTTTACGGGCGCGATCGATGGCACGATCGCCGCAGACGTGAATAAATATTTCTCTTAAAATCCATAATGTAAGCATGATTATTTCCGTCACTTACCGGCGCGTCTTCATTTAGAGCAGACATAAACACACCGTGTGTTGACGTCTCGCCCGTGTAATTTGAATCGATTACTTTTTAAACGTGTCACGCGCGTTGGAAAATTGACGGAACTAATCACTCCTTGATCTTGGGCCTTCTCGACCAACGAAGCTATCGAGTTTCAGTTCAGTGGAGAGCTTTAATCAGATTAATCATCGAACGAGATAACTTTTTCTATCAGCGATATGAATATTTCTAAGTGATGGAATCACTTAGATATGTATCGAGTAAAGTATGAGATGTGCTTTGCGTGGATAAAAATAACGCGAAACATCACGACAAAACTCGCGGAAGCGACATAATGAAGCAAAGAGATGGTTGCGTCGATATCGTAAAAGCGATATAAAGGGCGGTATATATCCGCACGGTATTGCGGTCGCTATTTTTTTCGATTACGCTGACTGTCGCTCCGATGTGGTGAAGTACACTTCTGAAAGAGATGTCACGTCCCTTCGAGCCGTAATTCATCACAGCATTTACGATCTCAGGTTTTGTTTGGGAGAGAGAGAGAGAGAGAGAGAAAAAGAGAGAGAAAGAGGGGGGAGGGACAGAGAGTAACGCGCCACCGTAAGATCGATGGCGACTGAAATGGACCCTTTGTCATACCGCTACGGCGCGATCTCCCCGACAAAAATGAATTCTGCGTCGTGTACCGAATTTCACGGATACGCGAGCTCACGTACACTGGAAGAGAAATCTTTTGAGCGGCACGATCTAGCATCCTTTAATCCCGCATAATCCCCACGTGAAGCCGTACACAGCTGCTCTGAGGAACTTTAATGTAGGATGTGCCTCGAGAAGGAGCTCTCGATCACGAAGAACCGATTCTTTATCGAGAGCTTCTATGAGCGTAAGCTTCAAGTATCTGGACTGAAAAGAGAGGAGAGAGAGAGAGCAGGTGGGGATTATATCCGAGGAATATAGAAAACGGAGGCTCGTCAAAAGGAATCGCGCGCGCGCGCGTGTATTGAAATTAGTTAATTTAGTGAGGAATAATTTCCCGAGTTGATGAAGGCAGGATGGATGAAAAGTATAGCGGAAAGATTAACGCGCTACGACCGGGAAAGAGCGTACAAATCCGAGCGGAAATCTATATCCTGCAATAATCTCTGGTGAAATACAGGATTTCGTGTTTGCGAACAGTATTGCGCTCAATGTACCGTATGTATTGGATTCAGGCGATTGCCCCTACCTTCCAATTTCCCGTTGTTGACAAGGAGGGAATTGTTCGACTTCCTGGATGAATTACGCGACATTTGGCTTTGACTTGGACTGCTGTCCGTGCTCTTCTTCTCTAGCACGTCGTGACAGCTGTACGACGTATGGGTGACCGTTAACATCGGATGCACGCTTCCTGAATCGTCCATGTGGGGTTGCGTGAAACACAAGAAAAACAAACAACATGATCGATTGGCTCTGCAAGTTGATTTTGCTTTTCTATGCGGAACGCGCGGCGCCTTCTTGAAAGATTCATTGGCTAAATATTCATTACCCGATAGTCAGAACATCTAATGTTCTTGGTGGGGAGGGGAGGGGGGGGGTTATATTTCGTGTCTTCTGAGAAACACATCTGTTTACACAGGGTGTCCCAGATCTCCCGCATTTTATTTCCAATAAGGACAGAGGACAGATTGTGCAAGGGTTACTCTATTTTTGAGCAAAAATGAGTAAAAATTTTTTCCCATCTTGTTCCGTCTTTTTCTGATAAACACTATTGTCCACAATGTTATATTTTAGGAATTAAAAATATACGCACGAGAGATTTTACCATGTATGTTTTCATAATGTCTCTATAAATCAACTCGTTAAAGAATCATGAGTCGATATTTACAGTTAGAGCTAATTTATTTTAACGAACGGTGATGCCGTCAGCGCTTAAAAGAGCCTTCGTTCGAAGGCTCCTTTGGATCGGATCGATTGTTATTCGTCCGCCATTTCGAATCGAACAATAGCATTCACCGATATGTGTGATGCAGGGTAAAAAAATTCCAACCATCGGAATTGTCATTTCCCTTTTGCCTGCTGCTGACCTATTTTGTCCAATCGCAAGAGTATTCGTTTACCGTAAAAATACAGCCTGAGAAACGGAAGGCTCGAGCGCAGCGAGTACAAATCGGGAAGAAAAATATTCGCATTAAAAATAGTATTGATATAGAGACCATTTTGTATTGGTTAGTTCGTCGACAGCGCATCGTTGCGATATTCATGTATCGTTGCAATACTTACAATTTGGGTCATAAAAAAATACGGTTTATAGGAATAAAATGATATTAAAATATTAATTTAATTTTTGTCAAGATTACAGGAAGATTTTTGAAAGTAGATCACACATCCTAGTCAAATATATAGCAGAATGATATATAGCTTATTTTTCCACGTTACCCTTTAAAAAGATGCGAAGAGTTTACATTATATACCTATACTTCACATTAACGGTTATAATGAACTAATAATTTAACTATCACGAGATAATGAGCTGTCAGTAAACTAATTGCGGAGTATAATACTTTACCCGTACGCGTCCTCGAGGCTTCGCTTTCCGTTCTGTGATGGCCCAGCGCCTGCAATTTTTCCGTGATTCCGTGAATTTTGTCGGCCAGCGAGGATCCAACATGACTCTCCGTGGAAGTTCCGCCTGGTACGCCGGTGCTATTAACGTTACTGCTGGAAGTCGTGTGCGATGTAATTGCGGCGCAGGCGGTTGTCGAGGTTAGCACGGCCATCTCCTGGGAGCCAACAAACGCGGATAATACGCGGGCTTTTAATTCCCGGCGCGAGCATCTCGTTTACGAGTATCTCTTATTGTCGTTTTTTTATGCCGCAAGCGCGCTCGCATGACGCGACACGCTTTTCTGTCCCCAACGTGATACCATTGCGACTACAATACGCGTCTTGGGTCGGTGTAATACTATAATACTTCGTGTGCGTCTTTGTTTTCCTTTTTCCCCCCTTTTCTTTGCGGCCAATTTGCGCTCACGGCTATCTTACTCGCAGCGACAGCAATATCAGCAACCTTTATTAATTTGAACATGCGATGATACGTACTTTGAAGGCTTTGCCGTCCACCCCGCGCGAGCCCTTCCTGACGAATGAAAGGAATAGATGTCGGCATAATTCATCCGGTGTATCGATCTCCAGATACGAATTCAGGAATTTGCGGAAACCCTCGTAATCGATGTCCTGAAACAGCCGAAAAGAAAACGCTATTTACTGAATGTCTTTACAAAATAGGTATTTTAACAACAGATTAAAGTAATAGTTTAATTTCTATGAAGTGTTATCTTGATTCGTGTTTATTTTGATGATATATATATTATCACTGAGATTTATGATTAAAGCAAAACTTGATATATTTTTAATTGTGCATATATGTATATATGTTTAAGCTAATATAGTAATAACTTAAAGTAGGCGGATCAAAAATTAAACGAGTTGACGATCGAATTTCTATATCGTGTTTCTTTTTTACAATCGATAGTTACAGTTAAAAGTATTTCCGTCACGATTACCATAAAAAAAGTCGTCGTTAATTAATCCGATATACGTAAGCCTCTGCTTCTCGTATTCATTTCGATTCTATTCGATCCAAATGAATTTCATTCGACGGAAGATTAAAGCCCAACGAAACGTGACGCTTTCGCCGATACAATGGATCCCGCAAAGTGCACATTTCGCAAATTGACTGATTACAATTACACCCGGCGACGCGTGTTTGGATTCCGCACGTTCTGGATCGATAGTATTTAATGCAATTAACTATGCCCCGTTGATTGCTATTCACGGAATTCGTTTCACGGAAACTGCGCGCGCTTAGGCCATGTCTTCCGAAAGAGAAGTCTTTCCACGAAACTACCTATCCCAAGTTTTCCTAATGGCACTAACGTTCCCCAAATGCATTCGTCGAAACGGAAAGCTGCATACAATTGCAATGCTGCGTACTGCTGCTGCTATATCAATTATTATTAAAAGAATGAAATTGAATCTTTAACAAAAATAAAATGTTTTAGAAAGTTCATAGCTGAGGTTAAATAATAATGAAACGATTGAATGAATTACTTTATATAAAATGATTATTGAGTATCTCTTTTGAGAATATAGTGCGCGTCTCGTGAAAGAAAAGCAATGATAAAATATTGAATTTAAACAACGTCCATTTTACTAAACAAAAAGTCTATCGAATGTATTTATTGGACAGAACGCAAATCAATTATCTTTATCTTTATATAACCATCGCTGTCTACAAAATCGATTGTGATTGAATAAACGTATAACGCAATTGTTCAATGACCCAAAATAATTAAACGTGAAGTATATATAAAAATGCGAATTTATACTGTTGACTTTATACTCATTACACACGTGGATCATTATAGATAATGAACTAGACAGAAAACAAATTTACAAATATTTACAATGTAGTCAGCTGCATGTATTCTGTAAATGTGCACAGTGTCAAAGTGGAGAACTAAATTGCAGCATAAACAAAGTTACATTGTACCGAAGTCGATAAAATGTCGGTCACCAAATGTCGAAAGTGTACCTAAAATCCAGAATATTTCCACGCAGCCAGTTCATTCACTTTAATTAAAGCAGGAGCCAATTAAGCTGGATGACGTTCGCTCTCCGGGTAGAAAATTAGACAGAAAAGCGGCGGAGTTACGGCGTCGCACAATCGGAACCGAAGTTCGCGTGCATCTTTGCGTGAACTTTTCTGAGGCTGACTGAAAAAAAAAATGGTCAATTTCGGAGACGCACGGCCTACATTCGCTCGACCGAATCTACGTGGATATTGGGTCTATCAACCACGGGCAAGTGCCCCTGGTAAAAATTTATTTGGTGCTGTGCTCCACCTTGTAGAATCCGGTTGGGATAGGAATAGCAGAATGTTCGATTCAGTACAGAGGTAGGAAAAAAGAAGCTTATTTTTCGGCCTGCGCGAAACTTAATCAGCAATTTTCCGCTCGCATTAATGATCAACGAGAGTTGCATTCGAGGTTGCATTGCGTTCGATTTATTATTCATGGTGAATTTTCCAAAATTAACGTTTTTTCTTTCAATAGGGAGTTTTTGCAATATTGTCTTTCATATACGGTTACCGTGTCAAAATATTAAAATCAAGAATATTTAATGAAACGGCTTGTCAGTGTAAATATATCGGTCAACTTCACTCGTGAATCTTAAGTATATGCATATTCCACAGTGTATAATCGCAACTTTTTAAAGTGCTTAATTAAAGTCGAGCCAAAAACCAACAGTCTCGTTGAAGATAAGCTCTGTGAAATGTTAACCTAGTTTCGAGTTTTATTTGAGTAGGATTGAGAGAACCACTGTGACATTTATCGATACTCCTAGCCAAGGACGCAGGGCGTCGCCTTTTACCTTCTTTTGCTCCGTTAAACCTGCGCTATGAACAATAAAGTCGCAAGCAGAAAGTGGTTGCAAAGGGCGCGGTTCGTGCTAGGTCGTTGTAAAACAAACTTCATCATGAACATCCGGCAGGCTGAAAAGAATTATGAAATTATATTTTGTTTCCATCTTTTTTCTATCTGGCGAAATAAAAATTCTTGATTCGATACGTTCTTCCTTGCCTCTCTTCGATTAACAAGTTAATGGTAATCGAGAAACTACGAACCGTTATTATTAGGCTGCCGTTATTATTAAGAACATCTTGCTTCGCGTGATAAGTCAGTCTTCCGTTCTAATTTGCAAGATCATTGCAGTTCTCGCGGTATTGTGTGGTAAATTAAATGGAAATTTTCTTCGACCTTACTTTGAACCTAAGTTTTATAAGTAGACTCGAGTAACTTCGAAAAGACTTCATGTTTCTTGTAGCGAATATAATTCACACCATTATACATATACGCGCAATCAATAATAGTAAAAATGGCTTTATCTCATTTGCAATAAAAAGCTTGTAAGCATATCTATTCAATCCAACTTATTTTAATCTATTAAATTTTATTAGATGCATTTACGTTAAATAAAAAATGTAACATATGACAAATGTAACAAATTACATCATATAGTCATATAGATAGAATAATTACGATCTATGTTTTCGTATAATATTTTATAAAATAATAATTGTAATTATAATTATATTACAATTTTGTTCACTTCTCTCACTGAATATATTCGTTCTATTATTTCATATTCTAATACAATTTTAAAAGTTCCAGTTAATAACTTGATAATTCTCTGTAGTTCTTTTCTTTTTTAATGAGGTTTGATACTTTTTTTATCGGCGAAAGAAATACGAAAGCAACAGTAGATTTTTGCTTGATCTCTATCGAATTTTCGCGTAATTTTCCTACGTCGGCGAAATATCTGGTTTTACTACTGAGCCGTTAACGTGCATGCGTCTGTTGGCCGTAATCCTATTTTGTGCATCAATCCCGTATAGCTATAGCGCATGTGGTCGAACGTGTTCTATTATCGACATTCTGCAACTAAAATGATTTAGCTTCAGCAGCCTACGATATATTTCTAACTAACTAGCGCCCTTCATATTTTTATCTTGCGGTTTAACCATATGTGAGCTTGTTACGGGCACTTGATACGAAATATTCAATCAGTTCAACTACAATTCACGCGCTGCGCATATATACGTTTCAAGTGGTTCATTTGGAACTTTTGAAACGGAAGCTTTTGAAAATCATAATCCGAAATGAAAGTTAATACTGACGCGCAAATGCAATTCATACGTGCTTTCAGTGATTTAAATAAAGCTACATTTATTTGATACACACCGATAATTCAAATAACGTTACTCGCTTAATAAATTCTAAAGCATATTAACACAGTCCGGATACAGAATATAGATCGTGACAGTTTTCAAACATGCTATATTTGATTAAATAGAAATTAAAACTTAATTTTCCAGCGTACAATTTTGATAACTTAAGAATTCTATTATCAAACGTGAGAAATAGATATACCTAAATTTCTCTTCGTAATTATACGATACTTTGATAATATCGATAGTTGCAAGATTTTTAATGACACATGCGCTTTCTTTACATAATTGCAAATGTAATTATGTAAGATGATATAATAACAGAAGCATGTAAGTGATAGAATTTCCATCGATTCTGAAGAAACCACACTATGTGTCGAGTACTGTCGAGGGCGTCGTGGAAAGCATCGCGCGTTTACACGATCGCATAATAAACCGTTTTATGAAATAAAACACATCCGCTAAGCGAGGAAATGTTCACATGAATGGCGCAGGAGGTGGCCATTAAGCTCTAGGGACAGAGCCGCTGGGGTGGGGAGGAATCGGAGAGGGCGAAATTCGAAGGGAGAGAAACGAGGTCATCCTGAATGGTCACGTAAGGGAGTGGTGGTGACGTCAGTGCGGCGGTGACGTCACCGTGATGGCGTCATATAACTCCACTGGAAAAATAGGTCGCAGAGGGTGAGAGCGAGAGCGAGAGAGAGAAAGAGATAGAGAGAGAGAGAGAGAGAGAAACAGCCCGACGCATTTCCCGTTCGTTCGATTACGGTATTGAGGAAAATGTGTGTTTTCAGTTAAGTGAAAACGTGTCTTTTCGAGAATGACACATTTTCTGAGATTTCGATCCCGGACGACAATCCCTTGAAATTATTTGGAAATCCTTCTACGAAAAAAGCAATATAAGTTCTTACTTTCGAGATAATTGTCTTGTCTAATTTATATGATGTCAATATTGATTTAGATATTTTTGTATACTTCAACCACATATCGACTCCTTAATGAGAGTAAGTTAACTAATTTTACGTGATAGTTTTAATCAATAAAGAGTTGTTAAGATTTTACCGTTTGAAGTTTACCGCTATTAAAATATTCGATATTATGACTGTACGAGTAGAGTAGAAGAGGGAAAATCTCCTCATGAAATTTTCATTACGAGAGAAACTACCCCCTCGTATTCGTTTGAAAATTAATGATTGACAGAAACGGAGCTTAATATAAAACATGTATCGGTTTTATTTATCGGCGTCACGGTAATTTTTCGAATCCATGGCACATTCGCGAAACATCGATCGACTTACATGAATAATTCATAAAACGGCATTTGCGTACACTTTGATCGCGTTTAGCGCACGGCAGTATCGACGGGTTTATGTGTACCCGGGCGGCTGTGTAAAATAAAAATAAACACTCCCGCTAACAAC